TTTGTAACCCACAAAGGAATATCTGATTTGGGCAAATACCATCAATGGCTGCTAAAACCTTGGGATGAAAATTTAAGAGAACCGGATATTCTCACAGTGACCAAGTACCATCTCAGAGATTGCCTGCTGATTGGAAGGGGAAAACCTATCTTTACAAAGGAAAGATCTAGTGATCACCATCTTAACTAAGAGATCAAACTAACAGCATGATAGCGGGACAACCTGTCATGTACCTTCTGAAGTGACGTCTTATTAAGTACACACCTCATTTACACAGTATTCTTGCCAAAGGTGTTTCATCCAAATCCTCAGTTTTCAAGAAGTACAGAAGACAGAGAAAAAAGTTAAATTACCCCAAGAAGCAGCAATCAGACAAATCCAGAATGTGGAACAGCCTATAAGACAACTGGCCTAACTTGTTTAGAAGTTCAATGTCATGGGGGAAAAAAACTGAGTGGATTATTCTTGTTTTAAAAAGAATGAAAAACAGCAAAATGCAATGCCTGGACATTATTAGATCTTGCTTTTAAAACTGGGCTTCCCTGGTGGCGCAGTGGTTGAGAGTCCACCTGCCGATGCAGGGGACACGGGTTCGTGCCCCGGTCCGGGAGGATCCCACATGCCGCGGAGCGGCTGGGCCCGTGAGCCATGGCCGCTGAGCCTGAGCGTCTGAAGCCTGTGCTCCACAACGGGAGAGCCCACAGCAGTGAGAGGCCTGCGTACCGCAAAAAATAAAATAAAATAAAATAAATAAAAATAAAAACTTTAAAACTAATACTATAAGATAATCTTGGGAGAAATGGAAAATTCTAAATACAGACTGGATACCAGACGTTCTTTGGGAACTGTAACTTTCTGCAATCTGATCATGGTTTTGTGACTGTGTAGGAGAGTAACCTTATTTTTTTTGAGATACATGCTCAAAAGGGGTGAAACATCCAATTATTTTCAAGTGGTTCAGCAAAATATAAACATACAGACACATGAATAAACGAATATGGCAAAAAGTTAAAAATTACTGAACTTAAATGGTAGGTATATAGGTGATCACTGTACTTTTCTATCAACTTTTATGTGAATTTTCATAATAATGAAGTTCGAAAGAAAAAAATGTAGGGTCAGATAACGAAGGGCCAGTCATGAGCTTCTTAGGATTTTGGACCTTACTCCTGAAGGCTCTGAACAGGTGATTGACAGGATCAAATTTACACCTTAGAAAGATTATTGGCTTAATGCATTCACTCCACTAGCATTTACTGACCACCTACACCAAGCTTTGAGTGAACGTGAGCTAGGTGCTGTGGGAGATAGGAACACCAAAAAGGCACTGCTGGCCAGAAAAGCATTTACCATAAACAGAGGTGAGACACAAAACACGGAGCACGGGTAGAGCTTCCTTGTCAGAAGAGGACGGGGAGAGCTGGGGAAAGCACAGATGCACACGCCTCCAGGTATTAAGTGGTGTTCCAGGTCACCAGCACAGCTACGCCACCCCAAAAAGGATGAACCTACAAGTGACTAAGATCTTCCAGCAATTCTAGACTTCTGATCTCTTATTCCTTGATGGCAGAACCCCACTCCCATGAGAGATGCTGAAAAGTGCTAGATTTCCTTGAAACAGAGTGTGGGAGCGTGACCCATTTCTGGCCCAAGGGACCTGACTCAGGTCCCCTGAAATCCACCAGGGACTACCAGCAAAGATTTTCTTCCCTGATAAAGACAGAGCGGACCCCCTTCCCCTCCTTCCTGGTTTAAGTGCAGCCAGATGAGGATGTGGTGCTTGGAGCTAGGGAACCATGAGGGGGACCCAGAGCCCTAATATCCCTGTGCTACTGAAGCAAGCCTGCAACTTCCTATCAACCGACTTCTTGTTATGGGAGAACTTCCTGTTATCTTTTTTTCAAATCACTCGTATTTAAGTATTGATACTTATGGCCCCAAACCTCACTCAGCCTCCATCTGCAGCCATGTGCGTCTAGAACCAATCCTGACCCTGGGACACAGCAGTTAAAGGAAGCCTCGGCCACAGTCTAGGTCACCCAGGCCATCAAGTCACTGCCCCTAGTTGAGCTCCAACAGCAGCTGCAGTGTGGGATGGTCAGGAAGGTTCACATTCACATGTCAACTCTGATTGACTGGCAGGGACTAAGGTGCTATGCGGAGGGTTCTGATGCACCGTGTGAAGGGTGAAATACAGGTTCTGTGCAAAGAAGTACCTAGATTCCTGTGCCAGATACCTGCCCTGGCCGCACGTTTATCATCGCATGTATGGAAGGAGTTTGGAAGCAGAAGACCTGAGTTTGAGCCCTGGCTCTATTGCTTACTGGCTTTGTGATTTTGGTCAAGTCACTTAACCTCCTCGAGCCATCTTATGGGATAATTGTTATCACTGAGATAATGAAAGTGAATGTGCTTTGTAAACCATGAAGTGCCATGTGTGGGAGTTAGTTCATCTTATATTTGTCAAACCTCAACTGAGGACCAGGTTGATAGGAGGTAGGGAGAGGAGGAAGGAATTCAAGGTTCCAGCCTTGGACACCTCACCAGAGGGCGCTGATCCAGGCTAAAGAAGCAGGACTAACACAAGGTCAGAGTTTCAGGTGAAGGTGAATCAGCAGAAGTTGAGTTGTGAGCCTAAATGGTGAAATATAGTTGGAGAAGATGTCAAAAGCAGAAGTGAAGATGCTAAGGACAAAGAGATAGAAACCACAGACTGGAGATGAGATCTTTTTTTTTTTTACTTCTTCGGCACCGGAGGGATATGTCCCCACCCAGCGGTTAACAGCGGCTCCCCAAGGCTGAGGACCTCAAGGGGTAAGAGGGTAGAAGGAGTTTCCAAAATCTTCAGAGGGGCAAAGGGGGGTGTGGTCCCCTCCCTAGGTGAAGCCACCCCGGGACAGCGTGCCTCCTTCCCTTGTAGCAAATCAGTGCAGTAAGACCAGAAGGGGAAGCCCAAAGTGTAAGAAGAGACAGTCAGAAGTAGATAGACTTTCAGTAAGCTACAGGTAGCAAGACCATTTATTTTCCTCTTCCCCCCTCCACTATGGCATAGCACAAACTCACGACATTCCGAAAAAGCCCAGCAAGTAACAAGTTAAGAAATCAGAAGGCCTTTTGCAATAAAACTAGGTGAGAAAGGGGTAAGGGACTTTTAACAAGAATTACTCCAAGAAGCCCTTACTCTCCAGGTTATTAAGAGTCTAAATTGCCTTGTGAAGTCTGACCTAGAGGCCAGAGAATGATCCCCCATATGTATCTAAAACACCCGCCAGCCCCATGCAGGAAAAGGGGAAAAAAAAAAAAACAGATTGACGACAATTCCAAGCAAAAGCTGAGAGGAAGCTGAAACCCAGAAGGGGGGCAGAGTTCAAAGCTGTATTTGTCCATCATTTTATCTCTAATGTCTACAACAGAGATGATGAATGAATGGGCCTCTGGGGTGGTGAGGAGCCCCAGATCGGATGGGCTCTGCAAGGTAGTGAAGGGAGGGGTGTGAAAGGGTCCTGGGAAGTGGAGGCTCCACGCCTGTGAAGAAGCAAGTGTGCGAGAGGAACTGGACAGAGCCCCTCCAGTCTGTAGCCCCAGAGGACTCTGCACGGGTCTCAAGAGGACGCTCACGCCTGAAGGACAGGCTGCCCTCCTTTCCCTTTTGCACTCCACCTATCACTAATAGTGAGGCTCTGGGTGTTTAATTTTTTAGTTGAAAACATTCAAAATTGGGAGATTCTACATATTCTGATTCCCCCCATTCCTTTTTGAAGATGGAGCGACACTAGGCCTGCGGGCCCCCGGGTAAACGATCTGGCACTGCCCAACAGCTGCCCCGATTTACACACAACACCCACCTCTGCCCACTGCTCCCAGACACACACACAGGTAAGGCCGTGAAAACACAGAGAAGACGAGCACCTGTAAGCCCAGGAGAGAGGCCTTCAGAAGAAACTAACCCTGCCGACACCTTGATCTCAGACTTCTAAGCCTCCAGAACCGGAAATAAATTTCTGTTAAGTCATCCAGTCTGTGGTATCTTGTTATGGAAGCCCTAGCGAATTAATACATACATCCTTATGAAACAAATATGGGCCACTTCACAAATTTAATTACCAGCCTAGCCCTAAGGCATTTGAAAATACACTATGTTTTAAATTCATTCTTTCATTCAACATTTGAGCACCTACTACGCCCTGAACACTGCACATTTATTGATCCAAGCCCAGTATCTTATAAACCAATTTTATTCTCTTGTTATTTAACAACCCACTTCTGATTTCTTCCAACCATTTTCTGCTGGGAAGCTTTATGTGGCATTTGGTTGTCTGCTGCTGATTCTCCTGATTAATGGAAAATGGTCTTTGTCACGAATCTGTCACGAACGGTATCAGAAATCCTAGTTCTCAACTCCGGCTAGACATCAGAATCATCCGGGATGTTTTTAAAATACCTACACCTGGATCAGTCCCTTCCTCCATTCTGATTTAGTTGGTATATTTGTGAGGAGCTCTGCCAGGACGTGTATATTTCTTTAAGCTTCCCAGATAATTCTGATGTGCAACCAAGACAGCATTGTTATTCAAGTTTGAAAGGTCCTTGAAGGTCACCTCCTTTGCTACTCAAAGTACAGTTCGCAACCTGCCAGCACCGGCATCACCTGGAAGTGTGTTACAACTGCAGAATCTCAGGTTCCACCCTGGACTACTGCATCAAAATTCATATTTTAACAGGATTCCCCACAAAATTCAGAGGTACTCTAAAATTTGAGAAACACTGGATTTCCACTAGAATTACCTGGAAAGCTTGTTAAAAACAAGACTGCCTGCCCAGAACCACAGAATCGCGATCTCTGGTATGGGCTTGGGAATCAGAATTTTATATATCGTTAATGCAGCTTGTCACACGTGGGCCTGAGGCTTAGGAATCACTCACGTATGCCATAGTATACATCCCCTCAACTACCCGGCCTCTGCTTAACCTTCCAATTCTTTTTCAAAGATAAAAAAATATAACAGAGATACAGGCTTTTATTTTTTCCATCACGCATGCAAACTTACAACTATTTAAACTGCTTCAGAACAAAGAAATAATTGCATTATTACCAGGGTGTCAATTACCAAGTAAGACAACCAGTTACTGATTACTGTTGGGAGGTTATTATCACAGAACACAGCAACAGTTTCCAAATTACACTTTCAAGCCCAGAGTTATATTACGAGACCAGGACAAGCTGGTAATTCTAATAGTCACACAAGTCTCCATCTTACACAGGAAAAAAGACTGATGCTCTGGTGAAAGATCTCAAGTAAGCACCTTATCAAAGACTGATAAGTCTTTATCAACGAACAGTCTCTCTTTCCTTTTGCGGATGCAGGGAAAAGGCAGCATCCCCTTCATCTCTTTTTGCGACTTCTTGTTAATTCCGAAGACTTTCATTCTAAGGCCCACCTCTGGAACTTCATTAGTTAACACGAAAAGCAAAAAACAGACCTGATGTGATAATGATAGTGCACCCCACCACTATCACCACCAACACAGAGTCCCAATCTCCCAAAGCAGTCCTGGTTGAAATGGCACAGGATCTTGGACTTTTGATAAACAATACAGGCAGGAAGAGGGAGACACAGATGAAACCAGGTTGATCATAATTGATAACTGATGTAGCTAGGCGATGGGCACACGGGGTCCAGAGACCATCCTCTCCACTTCTGTGCATGTCTGAAAATGTCCATAACAAAGAAGAAGAAGCTCAAAAAAAAAAAAAAAAAAGGCAGACCTGTACAGTTCTATTTTCCCATTAAGCAAAAAATGAGGAAAGTGGTTAGATTTACTTAGAGACAAAATAAGCAGCATATACATTAATCTTCCACATACACAAGGTCACACCTAGAACAAAAGAGAAAGCATCCAAAGTAACATTATTCTGTTTTTGTTTGTTTCTATGATTTATAAAATCCACTAATGATGAGAGAGAGACTGGACAAAACTCTGGGCATACCCTCACCTAGGCATCGCATTTGCCCACAGCCCTTTAATTCTCCCGTCCCCACCCTGGGGAAGGTCCCTCCCCATCCGCTCCAACACTGAGAGGCAGGCGTGTTCTCCCTGAGGCTCCTCAAGCCATTTCTATCTGCTCTTCCAGGCCCGCTCCACACCAGACTCATTCCCACTCTGTGTTTTTGCCCCAACTCCCCTGCCCAAAACACCCTCTCGACAGCTCTGAGTCAAGACCTCCCTAGCCCCTGGAGAACTCAGAACAAGGTCTTCCATAAGGAAAGGGATGCTGGTGGGTGGAGGGCAAGTGTAGACACAGTCCTACTTTCCCACCCTCAGGGATAAGGGGGAAAGAGGGCACAGGTGAGCCTGGGCAGGGAGGGCCCAGATCAGCTTTTACACCCACAGGAAATGAGCCTTGGAGATTCAGAACAGGTTCTGCCCACCCCCATCCCCATGCCCCAGGAGACAGCCTTGGGATCCCCCACCCTATAAACCAAAGCCTACTTCTACGGGTATTTGAGGGTAGAAGCCAAGAGAGCAAAGGACTGCTAAGGGTGGGAAAGCTGGGGAATGAGGTTCCAGAGGGCGAGAGGCTACCACAGAGGAAGAAACAGCAGGAGGCACCTGGGTCTTAAGGGACAGAGGAAAAGGTCGTAACAGGAGTAACCCTTGTTCACAACACTGCTGCCTGGGGGGTTATCATTCTAGCAGATACACAGCCATGAAAAGAGTTTTCAACATCAGAATTATAGCGTGAACCCAGGAGTCGGGAGCAGGGTCTGAAGCCAGACCCACTTGGCCTTCTGGCTTCCTCTACCCTCTTCCAGCCCAGTGTGTGCGTGTGTACAGCAAGTCCCCAGCTATCTCGCTACCTGTATGTAGAAAACCCTGGTTTTAGAATTGTTTTGTTTTCTTTCTGAGATGCGGTACTACTGAAACAAAAAAAAAAAAAAAAAGGAAGGGAGGGAGGAGTGGTAGACAGGACAGGGAGAGAGGGAAGGGAGAGAGGGAGGGAAGGAAGAGTGAGGAAGGAGGTGTGAGATGAAGTAGCCACAGGCCCACAGATCAGAAATACCTCTTCCCCAGCAACCCCACTATAGCACTCTGGTCACGTGTGAGGAAGGGATGAGGGGAGTTGATAATCAAGATACCTAGATTATAGGTGAGTCTAGTCCCCACCCTCACCTGGAGCCACAGCTTGATGACAGTGAACACATGTCCATACATACCAGCCCGCCCATCAGTCCGGCAGCCAGGAGGGTTGCTGGAAGGCTGGGGAGGGTAGGTGTGTGTCTCAAACACCGGCAGGGGGCCTGGGTCCACAAGCAGTTCTTGAGGTCCTTGTTGACCAGGAAGCCAACTGGGGCCGATAGCAACCTAGACAAAACTCAATGGCCTCATAGTGACGGGTCATGGTGCAGACCCTGACGAAGGTTCACCAGGAGAAGGGCCCAGAGGCAGGAAGAGATGCATGATGGTACAGAACACACGGCATACTGCTTCTCACCCTTAACCTCATCTGTGTCCAGGAGGACAGCATGGGCCCCTGGCCAAAGCCAGAGATCTTGTAGATGGCACCTTGGCTGGTGACCCCAGAGCCACGGAACAATCAGTTTTGGCTGATGGCCAATACCATGTGCACAAGCTTCATTTTGCAGTGGCAACAGAAAAGCTTGCCATAGATGGCATGCATGGTCACATGAACCAGCCCAGCAAGTCATGGGCCCTGAAGTAGCAGAGCTTAAGGATGCACTGGTCCTCTTGTTGGATGACTCATGAGTGTCCACGTTAAAGACAGGTGGGAAAGGCCAGAGCCAAGAACAGGGTCCAGGCAACGTAGATAAAGGCAGCACACATCTGAATCATGTGTGTTTAACATATCAACAGTAGGGGTGAGATCACGTAACATGTGACACTAACGTAAAAAAGCAAGAATGCCATGGGGAGGCAAAAGAACATAAACACCATATTCTTGTAACTGAAGTCCAAAGGGAACACAGTGCACAGAGGTCAACATGAAGAGAAGGCAGACAGCCAAACACATGTGGTCAGCTGGGCATGGGTCCAGCAGGAGGTAGTAGGGAGACTTGTGCAGAATCAGTTGGAATTGTTTACCCCAGGCTCTGGGGTGTCCACTGGCTGCCTTGCTGGACATGGCCTGCCCTCCTTTCCTTTCTCTGCTCGGGCCCCTTCACTCATAAGGTAGTACTGCAGGGGATTGGGCCACAACTCCTCGTTGATTATCTCCACAATCTTGTCAGACTCAATGGAGCTGTGGTTTGAAAACCACCCAAAGAAGCTCCGGGTGTCATCTGGGTTCCCCTGGCTTAGGGACTGAAGATCGTGCCCTGGGAGCCACTGGATTGGAGTAGAACGAGACACCACCTGACCGGAAGGACCACACCCATATTCCTTGATGAGCACCTTATTCTGGAAATAGGGGTTGCGCCCAAAGTAGAACTTGATCTTGTAGCCCAATCTGGCGAGGCCAAGCTCTTCCACCTCCAAGCTGTTCAAGTAGCTGAGTGCCTCTTTATCTTGGTTGTTCAGAAAGGATGAGAGCTGGGGGTGGTTCTGAAAAGCCTGCCCCCAGAAGCCCGGGATGTTCTGGATGAGGAGGTTCCTGCGCTCTAAGTGGTGCAGTCGCAACTGCCCAAACTTGCGGGAGAGCCGCAGGTAGGCCCTGTCCGCCTGGGCGTTCATGGTCTCCAACTTCAGCTGGACGTTCTCCAGTGTATCCATGCTGCCATCTGTTGCCGGGGGCCCTGACCCTGCATCCTTCTCCACCTTCTTTTCCTCTACCACTGGAACGGAGGCGGACTCCCCAGTGGTCCCTTTCTTCGGTTTCCCAACAGCTACGGCCGGAGACGCCCTCCCCACTGCGCTACAGGTAACTGGGGCCTTCTTCCCAGCGGGGCAGCGTCGATTTCCAACGCGAGGGACATTTTTCGGCCTTCCCATGGGCCCCACGGTTCCCACGAAGACAGTGTCTGTCGGCAGGCGCTCCGAGAGGGTTGTGGCATTCCCCGGGCCGGGCCTGGCTGCGGCCTGCCCGCTATCCCCCTCAGCCCGGGCCCGGAGCGCGAGGCCACAGTCCAGGGGGAGCCGGCAGGCACCCTCTTCCCCGGGCCGGCGGGGCGGCGCGGGCTCAGCGGTTTCAGCGGTTTCCAGGCCACCCCAACCCGCGCCAGCCTGCACCTGTGCCTCCTGGGTCTCCTCCCCGAGCCTCTGGCACTGTGGAGGGTCCGGGTCGCGCGAGGCGTCGTCAGGAGTAGCGCGGACTCGGCCTTTGGCGCGGCCTTTGCCACGGTTTTTGGCGCGGCTGGACTTTTTACCCCTACTTCGGCCGCTCATGATGGTAACGGACTCAACTTCAAACGCACGCTCCGGCCTGCGGCCCCTGGCGCCAGCTCGCTGTCCCTACCGAAAGGCCCTCTCCATGGCAACCGTCTACGTCACGACTGCACGACGGTACCGTAGCGCGAGGACTGGATGCGCCCGGTGATTGGCTCCAGTGCCGCAGCTGCGCACCAGCCGACCCTCACAGACGCCCCCACCCCCATCTCACCCCAGCTCGCTCTCACTGTTCAAGAGGGCGGTCCTTTCGTTTAGTTTCTTCTCGTTGGTCTCAGTTGTGCCCTCGCGGTCCTCTTATACAAGACACCCTCAAGACAGCCATCATGTCAGTTCCCCTACCATATACTTTCTAAGCTAAATATCTAAAGTTCCTTCAGTTATCTTCTGTGACATCTATCACGATGAAACTGCTCCTGGTCTCTATGTCTCATCTTTGAAAGCCTTTGCTGAGGGATTTGCCCAGGTACCTTAACTCCAGGGACTTTAAAGGTAGGTACCGTAATGCCAGGCCACAAAGCAATGTGATACGTGGTGGGATGTTAGTACTAACTACTTAAAAAAAAAAAATAGCAACTGCTATTTTATGAGTATCATTATGTGTCAGGCACTTTACTATGTGCTTTATATGCATTTTCTCAGTATGTTAAGGAGGTATTGTTATCATTCTCATTTTCCAGATGAGAAAACTGTGGCTCAGAGATGCCGAGGAACATTTCTGAGGTAACGCAATAAGGCATGGAAGCACAATTCTAACCCAATTCAGACTCATAACCTTTATTTTATATTCACAGGTGTCTAATCCTTCCAGACCTGCTCAGCTGTAAATTACTGCGTTAGCGCTTAAGAAGGCCAGCCTTGCCTGTTAAACCAGCATCAGCCGAGCACCTCTTCATCCTGGGACCATGACCTGAGTCCTCTAGCTGCCTCAGGCCTAATTTACAGAGCTGGGCTATCACTCAAGGTATAGGGCCAGGAGTGAAGGATACAAGTCAGAATTCCTATAACTGGAGTAACATGGGAATGTGGTCAGAGAATTATTTAATTATCATTCAAGGAGTGGAGCAGGGCTTCCCAGGTTAAAGTTCAGAAGCAGACCCTCCATAGTGGCAGTGAGGAGGCCCTAGAAACTTCTTAGAGACTGCAAAGAAACAGCCAGACAACCTATTTCGTGTTCACAAGAGAGCCCTGGACCATGCTTTTACTAGCTAGGTGAAAGGACCATGAAATAGTGAAGCCAGTGACAAGGTTATGACCAGTATGAAAGTTTTCAGGTTGTCTCTTTAAGTTCAAAGGGAACAAGAAGGCCCTTGCAACCAGCTAACGGAGAGGTAAGCCCCAGCGTCTCTGGGTTCTCAATACCTCTTACACTCATTACTCTCTTGCACTCTCTTGTGGTTGTGGCCCGGCAGCCTGGCATCACTTGGAAGCTTGTTAAAAATGCAGAATTTCAGGCCCTACCCCAGACCAGCTAAATCAGAATTTGACTTTTAACAAGATCTCAGTTGGTTTGTATCCGCATTAAAATTGAAGTATAGGAGACAAGGAAAAAGAGGAATTGATTGATACAGTCGGGCCTTACTTTAAACCAGCCCGATACAAACGACTCTAACTTTCCCAAAGATTCTACAATAGCTTGCAAGGCTCTCTGTGATCTGCCAAGTTCCCTCCCTGCCACTACCCAACTTACCTCTCTGACCTCATCCTCTTGTCTCTCCCACCCCCTTCCAACTACACTGGCCTACTTACTGTTCTTCAAAATTCTAGGTAGGCTCCTGCCTCAGGGTCTTTGCACTGGCTCTTCCTTCTGCCTTAAATGCTCTTCCCCTAGATATGGTTTACCACCTTGGCTGGCTCCCTTCACACTTTGCTCAAATGTAACCTTCTCAATGACCATCCTATTTAAAATTGCCACCCAGCTCCATCCTTCTAACTCTGCACTAACTTTTTTTATTCCTTAGCACTTGTCACCTCCTAACACGCTACCAATTATTTATTATGTGTATTATTTAACTGTCGCTCCTCACTAGAGTGTCAGCTCCATGAGGGCAGGGATCTTTGTTTTGTTCACTTGTGACTACAACAGTGTCTGATACGTGAAAAGCACTCAGTAAGTGAAATAACCAATCAAAGGAGAATTTTTTAGAAATGAGTTTATAAATTGATTCTGATTCTGAAATCAGAATACCCCTCTTTTCCCCACAGAAGCAATTTTATAGACGAAGGTTGTATACCCAAATCAATGCATGGAAACCTATCAAACTCATAATTTAGCTAAAAAATCATCTTTTGATATGGGCACCATTCAGGGACAATCTTAGGTAAAAAATCTAGAGTGACACATTTAAAAATTAAATTAGGGGAATTCATATTTGACTTAAAAGGGATTAAGCCAAGGGTTACCTTAAACTCTTGTTGAGGGCCCTTTCATCATCACTTCTTCCCAAGGTCTTCCATGATCACTCCAGACCACAGTAAGCAGCCCTGTCCTTGATCTTACAGAGAAGCTGTTAACTATGATATATTCATTTAGCAATCAGAAATGCAGTTTTTGTGCCAGTCCTTGTACAGAATTACCTCTTAAGCCAGATAACCACAGTCTGGAATTCTCTGTAATCTCAGGGGGAAAAAAATTAGCTGAAGCAGCCACTATCCCTCTGTAAACTGCAGAAATTGATAGATTGGCCCACTTCTCAGAGCACTAACAGTCGGACCAAGCTCTGTTGTCCAGAGCCTTAATCCAGCATCAGCATCTCTGTCATGTAACGCTCAGCCATGGCTAAACCACTGCAGGATTAACGTAGGCTGGCCGCTGCAAACAGTGTTTAGCGTACAACCTGCTTGAGCCTGTTTTCATCATGTCAAAGAGACAAGCAGCAGGTAAAGGGAAACAAATGTGAGACTAACACCTTATATAAAGATACTCCTCTTCTCCTTGAGAAGCTGGCCTGTGCTACTGAGCTGAACTGTTGGTTTTCTTCCGAGGTATTGATATTTAATTTATATGAGACTATATCTTGGGTTCCCAGTTAGATAGTAGACTGTATAAGGGTAGAGACTGTGTCTCTTTCTTTTATCCCTCAAAGCACCTAGCGTGGCCCTTGCACATACTAGTAATTATAACCAAAGTTCACATTTATTTTGTACTTTATACAGTACCATGTTCTAATTCACTGAATCCCTACAACCATGCCATGGGTAATATAATTATACATACACATACGTGTACATACACATTCATATATAGATAAACTAATACCTATATATATCAATTAGTCATGAATCATTTTCTGTGGGGTGTATATGTGGCATGATGATACTAAACAGAAGTGAGTTTCATTTCAACAGTCCAGGTTGAGAATAAAGCATCTTCGTTTGCATTGCATTTGTCATAAGCATTCTATGACTATTACGAAGGAAATACAAATTTACTCTCATGAACTCAGAAATCTGGAAGCAATTTGGCCTTTTCCCAAAAATTAGGCATTAAATCCACAGTAATGTAAGCATTTTAATTGATTCTTTTAAATAGTTGATCATTAGCAAATATTTATTAAAAACACTTTTCAAAATATTAGAATAACTAGTCATCACTTCTGTTCTCTGAAAATTGTACTTCCTCCATTCCTTTTAAGGTCTGATTTCCTCCAGTCATAGAAATTAACAGGCTGGGAAAAGACATTCCAGTCATCCAACCTATTGCACAGCCAAGAGAACAATGTTCCCCACCGTCTCCCTGCCGAAGGGCTTTAAGATCCCAGATGACATTTTTTAGCCACAAAGGTTTTCTCTTCCCCCAAGGAGATAGTTTGAGTCTGTTAGATCAAACAGTGAGTATTGCTTACTATAAGACATTTTGCCAACTAACCCTCCCAGATTTGGAGGATCATAGAAAAGGAGTGGCATAGGGAATATTTTTCAAAGCCAAGGAGGGAGAGAAAAATCTGCCTCTTAATGGTAAATTTCAAAAACTATTTGAATTTAACATCTTGAATAATGTGCCTAGCTTCTTCCCAGTTCCCACTCACAGCCAGACCAAAATTTTACAGCACCACCTAAGTTATTCAGTTCATGTCGTATAAGTAGCTGTAAAATATTTTTAAATATTGACAGGTGTATTCTTCCTTCCTGGCATTTTCTTTTTACCCTACAACATTTTCACCATAAAAATTAGACCTTTAGGCTAAGGCTTTTGTTCTAGAGAAGGGAAAATACTGAAGAACCCAGCAAGAGCAGAATTTAGCAACTCAGATTCTTCACTTTGAATTTCAAAATAGGTTCTTGAGAGGGGAAGATACAATAGCATTGAAAGAGAAAAAAAAATTTTAGCTCTGCAAGAGCAAACCTGGGAGCGTTAAGAGCATAGAGTTTATAATATAAACCACAAAGGAAGAAAAACATGTGATGATATACAAGCCAGATCTCCACCACACAAAGAGGAGACTAAAACCTTTCCTGAGCTGGGGTTGAAGAGCTTGGGGAAATTTTAGAGAGTACACTGTTGGTGCAGGATCTATAGAAAGGAATTCTCACAGTTACCCCTCCAGGGGTCAGACCTCTTAGAGAGCTAGTAGAGTCCATCCTCCCTGGAAAGATAGAAATCTGAGAGTAGGGAGGACTAGTTCCCAACTTGAAAACTGGAACTCAGACAAGAAATCCTCTTAGAGGGCTTCGTTCCATCACAAGGATAAGTATTGCCAAAGGAAGGTCTTTGAATTTTAAGTGTTTTAAGTGATAAGTTACCTAGTTACTTGAATTACCATGTTTAAGTTCATCTGAACTTTATAAATTGCTGCAACTATGAAAATTCATACCCATTACAATAACATTACCTAGACCAGACCCAATATCTAATGGGTTTAAGCCATGCAATACCAAAGGCAAAGAAACTTAAGGGACGGGTGACTTCAAAACTCTTTAGAAGATAAATGGCATTGATAATTTTAGAAAATAACAGAAGGTATTAAAAAGAAGCCTCATAAAACATGGTTATGATTGCAAAAATCAAAAAATTTATGAAACTCCAAGCACCAAATATGAACATTTTCACTACAATTTAGGGGGGGACCCTAAAGCAAAAGTAAGTGCTGTCCAAGAAAGTCTTCCATTGACTGGTTATGTGCTGAACTTAGAACCATGGGTGTACCCCATTTATTGCAGTTATTACTTTTAATATGTAACTTAGTAATTTACCATACACTTGAATTCCACCTCTG